TTCTTTCTTTCTTTCTTTCTTTCTTTCTTTCTTTCTTTCTTTCTTTCATGATTTGCTGGCTTATAGTGGCTTATGAAAGCTGACTTATTTTCAGGAATTTCACATGCCATCAGTTAAACACTTATTATTAAACATTAAATTACATAAGCTTGCAATTAAGTAAATTATATCGAAAGCAGAGTAAAATAACTACTTAAAACATCACATCTTAACTATTTTACTACTCGATACTATTATCTATGCTTTCGAAGTTGTTTCTATGTATTGTATCTGTATGGTGGAAACACTCTTCAATTCACACCTTTACAACTCTGCATTCGGTGACACCATGGAAACTAGGAGACTCTACTGATCAGGGCTCCTTGCTGCCCACCCATCCCCCATTTGAGAACCTGTTGTTAACATTTACCAGCATACCACTGGGTGGAACCCAACTTCTTCAGCAGTTTCTTGCCTCTAACTTCATTCTGAACATTCTGAGTTCTCAATCACCAAGAAAAACTCACCCCTCTGCCAGGTTTGGATGACTTCTGCAAAACCAACTGGGTAGCTTCTTGAGGTATTAGGCAACTGGGTAGAATTTTCAAGAGAGAAACGGTCTTTTCTTTCTGTACATCCCCAGACCCCAAAGTGTCAACTGTCAATGTCTCTCGTAGTCGCCCATCAAAGGTGCATTTGTGTGTTGGGATAATTCCAATACCAGATGTCACATTGTTGGGCCAGAGGCCTCTGTTTGGCTACCCCTGTTCTAATTCTCTTTCCTTTTTCAGTCCTGACTTGTCTTCAGCTGGTCTCGGGCCTTGATTTATGTAATATAAGGAACTGGCAAAGGGGCGGGGCACTGGCCAGCAGAAACCATGGGGTGTGTAGGCTTGAGCAGGTGACCTGATGGCCAAATTCTCTGCTGGATTGAAGGCGTATCCTTTGGGCTGTGTCCCTGCTGCCAGTAGAGCCTGAGGCATCTGGAGTTTAGCAAGGAACCAACAGGGGCTGGTTGAAGAATGATCTCATCCTGTGCCTTCCTTCCCCGCCTGTCAGCGGCGCCTGGGCCTGGGGCTTCAGCCCCCTGAACACCAGCCAGAGTCAAAGAACAGTATTGGTTCTAAAGGGGGTGGAAGGAACTTGCTTACTATTCAGAGAAGTCAGAGATGCTGCTAAGTACAATCAAAAGTATAGGTTCTCTCTTGAAGTGGATCTTGACTTCTTCCCCATTCCTAGTTCCTCGCCAAGCCATTTCAAAAATCAGCTTCATGAGATATTAAAAAACACTCTAAGTATCCATTAATAGGGAACAGCTTAAGTAGGTAATATTCTGTCTTAAGAAGGAAAATTAAATGTCAATGAAAAATTACCTTTCCTTTTGAATATTGTATCATGTAAAACTTGTTAGAAATGTAACATTTAAAGGAAACAAACTGGGGCCCCTGGCCAGCTCAGGTAGTAGAGCAGGCAACTGTTGACCTTGGGGCTGTGAATTTGAGGCCCACGTTGGGTGTGGAGACTATTTAAAAATAAACTCTTAAAGAGCTATAAAAAATAAAGGAAACAAACTAAATGGTTATGTTGTAGGGATCACACGGCACATGAAAAATCTACCTTCTACTATTGAATCCTGTATTCAAAAAGAAAAACTGAATTGTTTTAGGTAGAACTAACTATATTCACTTGTGGTTTAGGATAAAATTTCCAGTGACTGCAAATAGGTTTAAAAAGTGCTGAAACGCAAACAATTTACATGAAAGGGAAGGTAACACCCTCTAGAAAACTGACAGAGAACTCAAAAAGTGGCTCCGGGGAGAAAAGATCTTTAAAATCATAACGTGCAAGAGACATGGGAAGAATTCAAATGAATTATGTCATGCAATGTGAGTGTGGGAAAAAGCCATATTCCTCCCTTAGAATGTTATTTTATACACTATATGAATTTAAAGATGTACGTGCAACCAAACCAACAGATGGTTTTAAGTTAAAAACCATGTTTTAGGAGACCAATGGCACAAGGAAAAGGGCACAGCAGTGATTAAATCAGTATACAGATTCTTGGTATATAAAAACTATCTATAAATACAAATACATGTGATATACATAAATGTATATCAATCTGGAAGAAAAGGCACCAAAAACAATTAGTGGTTGTAATTGTATGTAAGATTACAAGTGACCTTTATTTTCTTCTTTATATATTTTTCTAGTTTCCAAACTTTACACAATGAATAGTCATGACTTTTAAAACAAAAAAGAATCTTATTTTAAAAACAACATGAGGGTGCCTGGGTGGCTCAGTTGGTTAAGTGTCTGACTCTTGATCTCAGCTCAGTCTTGATCTCAGGGTTGTGAGTTCAAGCCCTGTGTTGGGCTGTGTTGGACTCTGTACTGGGCATGGAGCCTACTTTAAAAAAAAAAAAGATTTAAAAACAATATGATAGGGGCGCCTGGGTGGCTCAGTCGTTAAGCATCTCACTTTGTCACAGGTCATGATCTCACGGTTCGTGAATTCGAGCCCCACATCTGGTGAGTTCAAGTCCCCCTTTGGGTGAGCTCAAGCCCTGCTTCCAGTGAGCCCCACTTCTCTCTCTCTCTCTCTCTCTGCCTCTTGCTCACTTGTGCCCTCTCTTAAATACATACATACATACATACATACAATAGATAAGACATCTGCCTGGAGCTCTTGTCTCCAGCTGTGCACTCATGGATCGTCCTTAGTAGTGTGGAGTAGAAATGAAATTATTAATAGCTAACTTTCACTGAGTATGAATCGTGTTCCCAGCAATGTACGGAGTACTTTGGATTATTTTATGTAATCGCCACCCCAGTCCTGCAAAGTTGGCATGTATACTCTGATTTGATAGATGAGGAAATTTAGGATCAGAGAGGATTAGTTCTTTGCCTAAATCATACAACTAGTGAGTGGGGGTGCTGACATTTAAGCCCAGGCAGACTGACTCCAGAAGCCACACTCTCAGCTTTGGCTCTTTGCCGTGCTGCCTCCCACCACTCCAGGATTCCAGAAGCTAAGTGGTCAGCCCATGGGGAAATTCCTAGCCAAGTGTCCTGAGTATTTGTTTTCAGCCTCAAACTTCAAGGAGCTGTAAATTTTAATGGAGTCAAGCCAGTTCCTTACCTGGGGTTGTAACGTTGGGGTGAATAAAAGTTTGAGATGAGTTTGTTGGGTAACATGTTTTCACCTACTTTAGGGGCAAAAAGACTTCCCAAGGAATGGGACAAAAGGATGCACTGGTTTCTTCGAGGATGCTTCTGGGGCTACTCAGGTAGCAAGGAAGAGATGTGGATTATGAGGGCTGAGCAGACCAGGGATGGAGCACCACTTTGGGCACTCTAAGTAGTCACGGGCAGCAGAGTCAGAGAAGCCAATGGAGGCTGTGAGAGGGACCAAAGACTAGCTCCATTCAGCAGAAGAAAGGGGATTGGCACTACTGGGCACACACAGTGTGCTGGGCATTCACGTTTGCTCTTCCATTCTATCCACCCCACAAGCCCATTTATGTCATTATCTCCACTTGACCATGGAAGGAAGGGAGGCTCAGAGAGATGAACCCATCTGAGTGATTGAGCAAAAAAGGCCAAGATTTGAATTCTTGTCTTCCTGGCTCCAAAGGGTTTCTGTTCTTGTCAGTCAGTGCCCGGCAGGAGATACTCTAATGGAGTAATTGAGGAGAGTTTAGCAAAAGGGCCCCTGACAAAGGTGTGGGCAAGTGATTGTGTTCAGAACATGCGACCCCAAAATACAGCACCTTGGCAGATTGAATATTTTAGGCTGAAGGAGTTTGAGGAAACAGGAGAAGGAGGAAGGTTGCTTTGACCGCCCCTGGGCCCTTGCCCTTCTTCTCTAAAACAGGTCATAAAACCCCCATGTGAAAGGTACCCTCCCTGTACCAGGAGGAAGGAAGACATTCTTATCATTATAGGCCAGGGGATTGGGGCTGAGAAATCTGTGGAAACAAACCTTGTTAAATTAACCCTTATCTTCCTCGTGATTTCTTCACCATTTACTACCCCTGGCCTAAGGATTTGTCTTGTCCAATCCTTACAAATTTACTGCTTCTTTGTCTGAAAGGTATAAAGCTTCGTGTTCTGTTCACTTCTTCAGGTCTCTATCTCCTGCGAAGGCTTCCAAGTGCATGTAAAAATTTAATAAAAGTTGCATAATTTTGGAGGGGCCTGGGTGGCTCAGTGAGTCAAGCGTACAACTCTTAATCTCAGCTCATGTCTTGATCTCAGGGTCATGAGTTCAAGCCCCGCATTGGGCTCTGCACTGGGTGTGAAGCATACTTGAAAAAGTTTTTGTATGATTTTTCCTGTCAATCTGTCCTTTGTCAGTTTAATTTTCAGACCCATCCTGGGACCCTATCATTTATCCATAAAAGGCATGGAATCCTGACACGTGCTACGACATGGATTCCAAGTGAAAAAACATCATGCTAAGTGAAAGAAGCCAGATGCAAAAGGACAAATACTATAGGATTCTACTTACCTGAAATACGTAGAACAGACACATTTATAGACACAGTAAGTAGAGAAGAGGTTTCCAGGGCTGCGAGGACGGTGAATGGGGAACTATTGTTTAATTTATTGTTTAACAGGTACAGAATTTCAGTTGCGGACGATGAAAAAGTTCTGGAAATGGATAGGGGTGAGGATTGCACAATAGTGTGAATATACTTAATGTCACTGAATTGTGCATTTAAAAATGATTAAAATGGTGGGGTGCCTGGGTGGCTCAGCCGGTTAATTGTCTGACTTTGCCTCAGGTCATGATCTCATGGCTTGTGGGTTTGAGCCCCGCGTCAGGCTCCAGCTCGGAGCCTAGAACCTGCTTTGGATTCTGTGTCCCTTTCTCTCTCTGCCCCTCCCCCACTCATGCTCTGTCTGTCTGTCTCTCTCTCAAAAACAAACATTAAAAAATTTTTTTTTAATAATTAAAATGGTTAACATTTTATGCTATGTATATTTTATGTCCCCTTTCCCCCAACACACAAGCCTTCCCACTGCCCAAATCAGAACTCGCTTTAAGAGGATGCAGATTGCCAGAACTCTTAGGTTTTCATTGTGGGGTTTAATGGCTCTTTGAACTACCTCATTATCCACCTTTTTTTTTTTTTTTTAACCAACAGAAAAACAAAATTCCCTAGCCTGACTCTAAATTTTTCACTGGGGCCTTCTAAGCCTGATGGCTTTTCTGGTAACACAGTTTTTTAAAAAATTGCTTATTTATTTTTGAGAGGGAGAGAAAGAAAAAGAGAAAGAACTAGCGGGGGAGGGGCAGAGAGAGAGGGGGACAGAGAATCTGAAACAGGCTCTGTGATGACAGCAGAGAGCCCCATGCAGGGCTCGAACTCACAAAACTTCAAGATCACGACCTGAGCTGAAGTCAAGCACTCAACCAACTGAGCCACCTACGCACCCCTCTGACAGTGCAGTTTTGTGGACTGATGGCTCTGGGGAAGGGATGTATCCTATTTTATTTTCCTTTTTGGTACTGAGACCCCCACCCCACCCCACGCCACCTCAGAACGGCTGCCAGCAGCCATCTGTCCCTGTTGCTGGGGTTGAAGGGAGAGTGGCTCTGAGTGCCTGCCTGGGGACAATTCAGGGCCTCAAGAGGTTCCCAAAGAAACTGTTCTAAGGTTATTCATTTGATGGGAAGACACTGGTGAGACAAGGAATGAGTTTTGGTGGGGTTGAGCCCAAGGCCCGCGTGGAGAAATGGCCTGGGAATGGATTTTGACAGATCTCACCCAGTGGGTGGCTGAAGGGGTGAAGGAAGCTCTGTAACAAACCCAAAGCTCGTTGATGTACCCCCAGCTGCAAGGGTGGGGTTGGGGGCAGGCTGGGGAGCCCCCAGACCCTTATGGACTGAGTAGGCTTCCTGGACCATGGGTTTAATGTTGTGTTGTCACCATTTTGAAAGTCTTCATACATATATATTTTTTTAACAAGGGGCATCACACTCTTCTTTTGCATGGGGACCTGCACACTGTGTAGCCGTTCCCATCTGTAGGGTATTAGAGGGAGAAATTCCACCTGAAGGCAATGGGCCAAAGGATCAGGTGGGAAGGGACCGGGACCTCCAAGTTGTAGGTCCAGCGACAGCAAGCGTGGTGTAGCAGGTGCACAGGAGACAGGATCCCACTTCTCCACCAGTCCCTTTTATGAGAAAGCTCTCCAGGCAAACCCCAGACTCTGGGGCAGGAGGGGTGGGGGGTGGTGAGACCAGTATCTGCCTGTGTAGGTCTACCTTGTTTTCTTTTGCTTTGTTCTTGGGTGTCATTTAGTCCTAGCCTGGCCCTGTGTCTATTATTCATGGTTAGCATTTTCATACCTAATATTTCTACGTGTTCTTTACACTTTTTTTTTTTAATTTTTCAATGTTTATTTTATTTTTGAGAGAGATACAGAGTATGAACAAGGGAGGGGCAGAGAGAGAGAGTGAGACACAGAATCTGAAGCAGGCTCCAAGCTGCCAGCACAGAGCCTGACGTGGGACTCAAACCCACGAACTGCGAGATCATGACCTGAGCCAAAGTCGGATGCTCAACCGACTGAGCCACCCAGGGGCCCCATTCTTTACACTTCTTGCTTCATCCTGCGTATCTTTTGTCTCTTTATTTCTACTTGAGGCTTGTTTTAGATTCTTGGTCTGTTTGTCCCTGTTCAAATCCTTCTGCTTCAAATCACACGGGTGGCTTGTGTGGTTTGCTGTTGTTCCTCTGAAGGAGTAACCGCGCTCCAGGTAGGAAGCACACATTCCCCAGAAGCGCTGGTGGCTCTGTCCTGTACTGTGTGCCGGAGAGTGCACAAGGCAAGGCCCTGGTGTGAGCCACCTCCCAGGGGCTTCTCAAGCCTTGTTGCTATAGTTATTGTTGTTGTGTTGGTTCCCGGAATCCCAGTTTCCCTCTGTAGTTCTTCCAGCAGAAATTTGGGAAAGGGAGCCAGTGGCCCTGCTGGTCTGCCAACGTGGCAGATACTGGAAGTCTCTGGCTCACGGCTATTTCTTGCGTAACCCATCCACACAGTCTTCTCCCTCCCTTGTAGATGGGTGAAACCTATTCTATCGTAAGTTGCTAGGTATGAGCGTTTCTCCATTTTAATCGGTCCGCTTCAATTCATTTACAAAGGGCCGATCTATTGCTACTGCCATTTAAACAAGATCCTGGGGGCGCCTGGGTGGCGCAGTCGGTTAAGCGCCCGACTTCAGCCAGGTCACGATCTTGCGGTCTGTGAGTTCGAGCCCCGCGTCAGGCTCTGGGCTGATGGCTCGGAGCCTGGAGCCTGTTTTCGATTCTGTGTCTCCCTCTCTCTCTGACCCTCCCCCGTTCATGCTCTGTCTCTCTCTGTCCCAAAAATAAATAAACGTTGAAAAAAAATTAAAAAAAAAATAAGTAAATAAACAAGATCCTGATAGTGGAGGCTTATATGCAAGGTACGTGTGAGGAGAATGCTATCGTTCCTGAATTCTGATTGGGGGAATTTTCTTGCAGTATCATTGGCCAAAGGTCAGGCAGTTATGCAGGAACATGTTCTCACTTTTTGGAGAAGGTATTCAGGGATGAAATATTATGATGCTATAATTTATTTTAAAATACGTAAGCATTTTGGGGTACCTGGGTGGCTCGGTCGGTTAAGTGTCTGACTCTTGATTTTGGCTCAGGTTATGATCTCACCATTCGTGAGTTCGAGCCCCGTGTGGGGCTCTGAGCTGTCAGGGCTCTGGGCTGACAGCTGAGAGCCGGTTTAGGATTCTTTATCTCCTCTCTCTGCCCTTCCCCTTCTCTCTCAAAATAAATAAATAAACTTAAAAATAAATAAATAAAATACTTCAGCATTTTTAAAAACGTTTATTTATTTTGAAAGAGAGAAAGAGAGAGATGTGGGAGGAGCAGAGAGAGAGAGAGAGAGAGAGAGAGAGAGAGAAAATTCCAGGTAGGCTCCACACTGTCATCACAGAGCCCAATGCGGGGCTTGAACCTACAAACTGTGAGGTGACCTGAGCCGAAACCAAGAGTTGGATGCTTAACGAACTGAGCCATCTAGGTGCCCAATACTTCAGCATTAAAAAAAAAAAAAAAAGGAATTTATAAAATGAGAATTGTTAGTCCCTAAATTTACATTCATAAGCCAATAGGTTGTAGGAATCATTCTTGTCGGGAAGTATTGTTTCTCTTTTATACTGCACATAATCAGCCTCACATTGTATATAATCATGTTATTTGTTCTCTGTAAATGCTACGGTTTGGACATTTGTGCTCTCCCCCCACCCCTAAATTCATATGTTGAAATCCTAATGCCCAGTGTGATGGTATTAGGAGGTGGGGCTGTTAGGAGGTACTTAGGTCATGAGAAGGGAGCCTTTATGAATGGGATTTGTGCCCTTATAAAAGAGGCTCCAGAGAGATCCCTGGCCCCTTCCACCAAGAGAAGATGCTGTGAGGAGGGACTGACCATGAACCAGGAAGCAGTCCCTTGCTAGAATGTCACCATGCTGGCACCCTGATCTTAGACTTTCAGCTTCCAGAACCATAAGAAATAACATTTTGCTGTTCATAAGCCGCCCAGTCTGTGGCATTTTGTTACAGCAGCCTGAATGGATTAAGACAATAAATATCTGGCAATATCTAATTTCATGAATTCTGCAGAATTAATGCCCATTTGACAGATGAGAAACCTCCATTTGGGACTGGAATGGGACTGGAAAACCTGATTGCAAATGGCTTATTCCTGAGACTGTCGACTGGAGGCCTTAGTTCCTCCCCACATGGACTCTCCACAGGACTACTTGACAATGTTCACAGCACAGGGGCTGGCTTCTCCCAGAGCAAGTGATCTGGGAGAAAACAAGGAAGAAGTTGCAATGTCTTCTGTGACCTAGTCTTGGAAGTCCTTTCTGCCACATTCTATTCATCAGAAGGAAGATAGTAAGTGAAGACCACCCTCAAGGGGAGAGGATTTAACTTCTAACTCTTGAAAGGAGGAGAATCCAAGAACTTGTGGGCGTATAGTAAAGCCACCACAGGGGTCACCAGTCCAAAATTTTTTTTTTTTAACTAAAATGGGATCATATGGTATGGAGGACTTCATATTCTACATTTTTGTGTTTATAAACTCAGATCTCCTAGATTCAAATCCTGCCCCTCTACTTAGTAACTATATAATCTTGGGCAAGTTACTTAACCTCTCTACCTCAGTTTCCTTATCTACAAAATAAGAGTAAAATTAAAGCATACCTTATAAGGCATTGGTGACAAGCATGAATTAATACATTTAAAGAACTTATAATCATGTCCATCACAGGATAGGCAGTATATTTTGGCTCATCATGTCAGCAAGGGTATTTTTAAAAAATCTTGGGGTGCTTGGGTGGCTCAGTTGGTTAACTGTCCAACTTTGGCTCAGGTATGATCTCACAGTTTGTGGGTTCGAGCCCCACATTGGGCTCTGTGCTGACAGCTCAGAGCCTGGAGCCTGCTTTGGATTCTGTGTCTCTCTTTCTCTCTGTCCCTCCCTGGCTT